GAACTACCTTAAGCAGGTAAAACTTCCAGCTGAGAGGTCAGTACCCTTCCATAGCAGACAACTGTGTTGTTCAACTCAAAGGCTGTGTCAGACACTGAGTCTTCCAGGAGGGTAATTTAGTAAACTGCTGTGGAGCCTGATATAAATCCTCAGGGCAGGCAAGTGAGGTCAAGTTTGCCTCAAACACTTTTTACTGCAGGTGCCCACCTCTGAAGCATTAAAAAAAGGAGCTTGGCTTTTCCAGCCCAGCGTGAGAGAGTGACTGCAGACATCCCCAGCTGCCAGACAGGCCTGGCTCACGTGTGCAGGGAGTTTCATCCCTTCCCTGGCAGGCAGCGCTCAGAGGTTTGGCTGTGGTGCTCATGCAGCCATCCTAGGAGAGAGAGAGCACAGAATTACCAGCAGTGTTGGCTGGCACTTACAAGGGCTCACAAGAGATGTGGTGCACATGTTGGAAGGCCCTGGTACATGAGCTCAACATGAGGAGCGTTGTTAACTTCCAGACTTGCTACATGTGATGTTAACCTCAATCAAACAACAAAAAGCATCGTCATTCCAATTCTTTCTCAAAGCAAGTGATTTTCCATTTGTTCAGAGGATAGACACAGCATCTGAAATTGAGGACAGCTTTCCTTATCTTCCTTTTTTCCTGAATGTCAAGGAGAGAGATCTAATTTTAAACAGTTCAGTTTTTTCTAACTGGGAGAATCAAGAAAAGTATAATCTGTAAAAATAAGTCATAACATTGCAATTCAGATTTTTTTTTTTTTTTTATTAATCTCTAAAATCATCCCCTAACACAGCAGGGAATCTGTAACTGTTATTTATTGTTTTGAAAGATTTTTCCCACTGGAGTGGAACCTGCGTGACAAATAGCCAATAGCTGACCATAAGAAATAAAATAACAAAACAAAATTCACCACTGCCAAGGTACATTTTCTCAGGACATCAGGCTTGGCAGGAATTCTGCCAGTTCATGGCCAGCATTTCACCATAGTGAACTTTGGCTTTCAGCACATTTCTGCCCCTCCACATGCGAGGATCACACCAGCCTTGTGGACAAAGCAGGCTGGAACTGGCAACCTTCTCACTCATAAAGACCAGGATCCAGTTCCCATGACGAGGACAGGCAGGGGCTGGGAGAGATCCTTTGGAGAGGACCACGACATGAATGAACATCCATGTAACAAATGCATGTAGGAGCTGCAAGGTGCAATCCTCCACAGGCCATTTCCAGCAGAAAAGTGAGGAAAGGCCACACTGTAGCAAGACAGGAGCTCTTCTGCTAAAGAGAACTGAAAATTTTGCTGTTCTGCTAGAAAGCATATCACGGCTTAAACATTAAAAGACCACAAGAGGACACTCTGGTGCCACTTACCTTCAAAGTTTATTTACTTTAAGGAACTTCTGCTTCACTTGTAAAAGTACTTATAAATGTATTTGATACACAGAATAGTGATTTCTACAAAAAAACTTTACTCTCATCTTTAGAAACTGAAAAGTTGCTTAGTCTTTGAGATACCATTTCTTTCCTACTCACCCAGGTTCTGCACATTCAGGTAAGAACAACTGTACCAAGGTGTTCTACAAAAGACTTGTTAAACATGGCAGTAATTTTTAGTGTAGAATTAAGATGCTGGAAAAAATACTACTCTGTGGATAGATTTTCAGATCAGTTACATTTTCAGCATGTAAATTTGTCATGGTTATTTAATTTTTAATTAAGGGCTCAGAGAAGAAACTGAGCATAGGTCTAGACAAGATTCTTGAGATGATGAATTTATCTACAGGAGGAAACTCCAAAGGTTAATCCAAATCCAAACCTGTATTAAACTTTTTTCAAATGTTAGTATTCCAGTCTAGGGGGACCTTCTTTTGAATTGTATGATGAAACTTGTATTAGCTTCAATTTTAATCTCACTTAGTTTGATCTTTTTCTTGTTTCTCAGCAACAATCCTCAGGGGAACTTGATTCTTGTTTCCTGGGCTTTATGTTTCCCTTTAATTGCAGAATCAACAAAAAAAATATTTTATGAAAACAGATAGACTCTCAGGTGCTGAGAAATGGTTTCAGAGGAAAATATCCATTATACAGAGGAAAGAATCATATTAATGGAGTTTAAAAAACAATCTGGGGAGAAGCAACAGCAAAAGAGCAAAATTAAGTACCCTCTCATTTGAGTTCTGACTGTTCAGACCAGAGCCTTAGTTACAAGCAGAAACATTTTTCTGTTGTAAGACAAATGCTGAACTTTGTGTACTTAGCTAGTTTCTTTTTTCCCCTCCACTCTTTGTTAACTCATGACAGAAGCAACTGAATCAAGTCCAATGCATCTCTGAGATCACAGTTTTTGGAAAGAGGGGTTTGTTGATGTTTTTGCTTTATGGGAAAAAAAAAGTCATAATGAAGTTATAAATAAACATGAAGGAACTAGGAAGTTAGTGAGGAACTTTTTCTCTGGTGTCAGAAGATTAAAAAAGATAATTATAATAGCAGCAAATAACCATTCCCATGTCAAGTTGTTCTATGTAGATGTAAGGCTTCTTGGTAAGATAGCAAGACAAAAAATCAAGACCAGATTAAAAAAAAGAAATGAAGAAAAAAAAAAGAAAAAGGTAACTCTTGAACCACTGAATCAAGCCTTCCAGAACAGTCCAAGCAGGGTTATCCAGGATCAGTGTTCTGAAAATGGTTCAGCAGATCAACTAAAATACTGTTCTGGGTCTGCAAATTAAATGCAAAAATCTTCAGAGCAAATGAAAGCTACTATTAGTGAGAACAATCCTCTGGTTATTTGATTCTTTTTGTAGATTAAACATGTTACATTTTCAGAATTTGAAGCAATTTGATAATTTCTATATATATAAATCCAGAGAAGAGCAAACAGAACTGCTGCTTTCAATACGAAATGGAAGGAATCCAAGTTGCTTCAGTCGCACTCTGCTTTTTCACTGCTTTCCTCCCCTAACAATGGGCTTGGTTAACCCAATCACTGACATGACCAGCAGGAAATTCATCCCTTGAAGGAGGAAAAGTTTTCTGCAAGACCAGCTTGCTGAACCAGCTTGTACAACCATCAGTGCTGTCTCTGGGAAGAGAGGAGACGACCTGCAGCCAAAGCCAGAGCAGTGCAGCAGCCACAGCTGGCTCAGCCATGAACTGCTGGGGCACTGCTCCTCCCTCCAGAGCAGGAGGGGGATGCAACACCTGGCTTTGCAAAGTTGATTCTGTGATACAGATGCCCACTGAACCTTAGGTGTAAAATCAAACAACATTAATAAACTCATATTCATATAGGTGGCTACTTAATGCACAATGTTTGATGACCTGGAAACAGAAATATGCTGGCATGTTGCTTGAGCAACTCAATGACATGCAAGAAGGAATGTAGATGTTAAGCATAGCTGAATAGTTTGTATCCAATGTAAAACATGCAGCAGTCCTTCCATGGCCCAGACAAGTCACCTGCTGGGTGGAAGTTTGGTACAGGAACTGAAACACTCAGATTTTAGGTGACAGAACTGTCACACGTGTCAGAGCAGCAGCAGACTTTGGAGGTTTGGTTTCTAGCATCACTACTTGCCCAGATGAGACAACTCATAACTGAATTTATTTCTGTGGATGCTACAGTCCATTAGTCAGGAAAAGGATAGTATTAGGGAAAGGCCCTGGCGCCAACCTTTTAGAACCAAATCAATAGTCTGCATCAATATTGTGCCTGTAGTTCTTGGCTGTTCATATCACATGTGTAAAAGCATGAGCTTTCGATTGTTTAAGATGCTTTCAACTTTGGGTCTTTTGAAAATCAACCTAAGGTGCTTCATAGTACATAGATTTTGAGATTTACAGAAATAGTAATAAATATTTTCATAATTCATGTTAGCACAACTCATTATTTAGAAGAGGTAAGTCATGACTTACATTCTTTCATTTGGCAGCCAACAAAGCTTATTACAAAGTTTATATCGCAGTTACATCTGGTACTTCACTGATACCAGCAGCCATAATAGCATCTGTCAGCTGAACCTGAATGCATTCAAATTACCAATGCAAATGGATGTTATTAATTGGGGTAGGGCAAAGGCATTCAATTGCAGCATGAATCATCCTCACATTGGGAGGCAGAAAACAGAGTGCAATCATTTTATGCTTGAGATGTTACAAATGCAGAGTTGTGAGTACTACACGTTGCTATCAGGGCTGGAGACACCAGCTCCAGAGTGAAGGGTAACTAGTTTTTCTGGGAGTAGTCACAGCTATGTCTCACATTATTTTACTTTTGAAATTAATTACTAATAAGATGCCTTTCTACCATGTTTCAAGTTGTGTGGCTTTGATTGTTTAAGAAAAATAAATTATCTGCATCTATTAAATAAGCTAGAAACATGGATAATCAGCATGCAAGATTTCACCTGTTGATTTTGCCTTCTGATTTTGTTTCACTCAAGCAGCTTATTTGAAGCATTCTGAATAAACATTGTAGCTGCTAATGAAAAAGGGCCTTCTAGGTCAGGACACTTCTGTGAGAAGTACTGTGAGGCAGAAGTTTTCCTGACCCTGATGCAGGCAGCCTGCCTGGTTCCCCATATGCCTTGCTCTCCACGCCTTGACAGCTTGGGCAGGGATTTGCTGCAGGTAACACTGTCCTCATGGACTCACTGCAGTGGCTGATCCCTTCCCATGGGCACTTCCTTGGATGGGTTTAGCAGTATCTGAATTTAGATGAGGCTGACTGCCTAGATCCAGGATTAAACCAATTTCTCCTGCCTGCCATGGAAGGGGCAGCCCTTCCCTCTGTTATTGACCCAGAGTCCTCATGATACTCTGGCCTTCTTTCTGCCACAGGGGTGCATGGTTCTTTCAGGGCCTCATGGGTTTCTGAACATCTATACTGTTTTGTGAGATTACACCAGTATCCTTACACAATTTTACAATATTTTATTGAAATTTCATGTCTGTGTTTTGCCACAAGGTTACAAATTACTCATTGCACAAGCAGTCAACAAATAAGTAGAATACTTTACAGATAAGACAAGTCATATAAATGTATCTTAGGTATCTTTAAGAAGAGGAATATATATTTTTAGTCCATGGTGTAGTATGGGAAGGAAAAAAAGCAAAAATTAGCAGGCAGTAAAGTGACAATACACTATAAAGAAAGCTGGAAGGAATAAAGAAGTGTCTTACATTTTGTGTAATGAAACAAATATCAGAGTACTAGTTCTGAAAAAAGAGACCATGGATGGCAGTTTTCCAATGGCTTATGAACCTATCAGAAGAAGTACTGATGGGAATTAAATATTTGCCCTATTGAATTCATCAGTTTGCCAGTAAAACTTGTTCTGATGATAGTCAAGCAATATCAGGGAGGCCAGAATTACTGAATCAGTAATTCCCTTTTCTACATGCATATCTAGGATCAGTATTTATTAAGAAACTATTCTTTAAAAGTTGACTTTTTTGGTGTGCAACTATATTGTTCCACATGATTTGTAAAGAATTTGGTAATGTACAGGAGTATAATTAGAATATATTTATCAAGGAGACCATCTTATCAAAAGAATTAATGAAGCTTAATTTTGAAGCTATAAAAGAACAGGATCCTTCCAGAAACCCTGGAGTGCAGAAATGGATGGTAGAAACAGTCTCAAATTCCTCTAGAAAAAAAAAAATAATGTTTTTCATCCTGTTCATGCTCAGCCTTCTCTTTCAGTTGTTGAATACTTTGTGTGTTTACAAATGCTTTCCTTAGATCAATTACAAGGCTTTTATTCTACATTAAGGCTAAATTCTGTAGATGTCATATCAGTAAATAAAAGTTGGCATCATAAAATCACAATTAACAGCAAGTATCATGGGAAAGCACTTACCAGCAAGCACTGGGAACTGACCATACAAAAGCAATGTGGTGCTGCTATCTTACAATTTCATAATGAATCTCAGTATATTTGACTAAAGTGTCAGTTTTGAACCTACAAAGAACAGGCCTATCTCAATTTATGCTCTTCTCTGCAACAGGAGTATCTAACCTCACACACCTTGTGTATTTCAAAATATATTCCAAAGGCCAAAACAGCAGATTTATAATAAAAAGATCTCTCCCTAATCTCATGTCTATGATTCCACTGGCCATGGTCTGATTTTAGCCAGCTAGAATAGAGATGAGATAATAAAATATGTTACTGATAAGGATAATTGTTTAAATGTCAAAAATATTTCCACAACCCTCTTACCAGCCAGAATCCCTGCTTTGCCCTGACTTGTTCTTGCTCCCATCATCGTGAAAATGCTGCAAACAGTTGTTCACAAATTATAGAAAATTATCTACAATATTGTCTGCACCTGAATGTGAGAGATCTACCTCCACCCTTCAGCATCTGTCCAGTTGCCCACTCTCCTGATCAGGGTTCAAAAATAAGAGTTTAGTACTGCAGGATGGGTCTCTAAAGCTAGTTGTAGTCATGCAGTTTAAACTGGAATAGGTTTGTCACTCATTCTGTCATCCTACAAAAAAAAATAACCCCAAGCAAACCAAAAAAAGCACTTATCCCCATATGGCAGGGGATGGCCTTCTCTGAGTAAGCCATCAACTATTGATGGAAGTTGTATGATTTAACAAGAAGTAATATTTGAAAACTTCTTGGCACAGATGTCTTAATCATAATCTCTAATTCCTGTGTGGAGTTGCTGGTTCTGGATTCCAGTATTTATTCCACAATATGGGTACCAAAACCATGCATCAAGTATTATAGAATTTGTTCTTTAAATGTGAATATCCTCCATTAACAATGTAGGTCCTGGTCTAGCCAAGATGATATTAAAATTCTAAATACTTTTGCTACATAATTTATAATTTACAAGATTTTTCAAGTATGCATATGAATTTATAGAAATTATTTTTTTAATTGATTATAGTTTTCCATTAAGAAATCACAGAAAGAGAAGTAGTTTCAGAGTACTCCACAAATCTCTCTCTAGGCTCCATAGATCCACGATACATAATGCAGCATTAAACATGACAGAAGTGTCAGACTAAGAGGTTGTGCCATAGAAGGAAATCCAAAGGACCTGGATGGCTGAAGCTGAGGCTTACGTAGGTCTAGGCGACAGGAATTTTGTACTTCTTCCAGAATTTCACTTTCACCTACGTCCATGACTCCAAAAGTATTCCGCACCTACAAAAATTCAAAATGTTGTCCCTGAAAGCCAGACTGGCACAACAGCAAAAAGCTTTGTGCAGCTAGCAAATTCAATGCTGTTTCAAGTTACCCAGCTCAAAGTGTATTGCAAAATCACATCTGAATGTGAGGAAATCAACATCATTATTCTGCTGATTGCATTCCTATGAAACACTTCCCAGAATTCAGCACAAATGCATTACAGGCAAGAGTCACAGGCCTGGCTGTTCTTTGTCTGACTCTCTCCACATATGGAGCAAACAAACTCATGAGCTTTCTTCCCTGAAGTGAGATCACACTCTCAAGACAAAGCTTCATAGTCTCTAATTTAGAAGGGAAAAACCATACTAAGTCACACAGATTGGTTAGATGTGATGAATTTGAGCCTCTCCATAATGTCAGTCTGCCACACAATGAAGTCAGCATTATGTAGATAATCTTATTATTGTACAAGAACAGTACAATTTTCCCTAATTTCTGTTCATCCAACATGCCCAAAAAAGACAAGTGGAAGAAGGGTCACTGTGAAATATCTGTGATCTATAGGGCTTTGTGTGTAATATCTACTTACTTATCCCTGTAAATAAAAGCAGTAGGAGGCAAGAACTCTGGAAGTTTCAGCAGGAGCATTTGTAAAAGTTACCACTGAGGAGGTCCATAGTCTTATCCAGTTTCCCTCCCTCCTCTCCTCCCTCAGCCTTCTGGATTTATTTCTACCATTTATACTTAAAGCTCATTTTGATCTAGTTGTTATGTTTATGGCTTGTTAGTGATCTGGCCATGGCAGAAGCCTTTTGAAAAGCAGCCCAATCCCATGACAAGAATTAAATTGATTTGCAGGAGTCAACATTCCTTCCTGCCCCAGCGAACACAGCCAGACTGTGATGCTGGTACATCCGCAGTTTCTCCAAACCATGAAGTGATTCCATTTAGAAATCACTGATGTGTGCTTATCAGATTACTGCAGAGAGAAAAACTTCCAAAGAGCTTTGTCTGCTCTCCCTCATTTTCCTTTATGCTGCTAACGCTCTCTTGCCATCTTGGTTTCTTTCCCAGCATTTGGATTTACTGAATTAGGTGCTTACATTCCCTCATATCTATCTCATTGAACAAAAAACCCTCCAAAACAAAACACATAAAACAAAACAAAACAAAACAAACAACAAAGAGAAAACCCACCCAAAAAATAAACAACAAGACACCAGCAGTTCCTCTTTCCCTCTTAGTAGAAATAAAGATTCAGTTTGGATTTTAATCTTACATTTTCTACTTCCCTGAAGACACGGAGAAAGTTCTCCCTTAAGACTCCTTTCAGTTCAGTTTCATTCCAGCCTCTTCTAAGAAGTTCCTCTATTAAAGAAGGGTATTTAGAGACATCTTCCAATCCCTCAGGAAAGCTGTTGGCAAGATTCACACAAGAACACTCAACACATATCACTGACAAATTGGAGAAAAGGGTTTTTAACTAGTCTTTCGCACATATTGACTTCTGAAGTGAGCTCACTTTGGACTCAGTTCTTCCTCTGAGAATTCAGCTGACAAAAAGAAACAGTTCTAGGACACAACAAAAGGCTTCTTCCTCACATAGGACCCAATAAACAGAACACAACTGGAATGAAGATGCACTTTTATAGAGGAAAAACAACAGCATGGGAGGATATTAGAACAAAAGGGGAAAAAATAACCAGAAATTCATGTATATGTTAATCCACGCTTTTCATCTGGCCTTTAGAGTAAGGAAACAGCTGCATCACAAATGAAGTGGGGCAATCCACTGTAACTGAGAACAAAAGGAAACCTACAAGCACATGATCTCTGGAGTTGCAGGCAATTTTGTGAACTCTGTTGCTTACAAAGTATTTTTTCCAAAAAAAAAATAAACCAATTAGAATTATAACATTGCTTTGAATTAAGCCAATTGTTTAGGCAGTGGAAAGAAACATATTCAGAGCCCTCTACTAAAGAAAGTACAAAAAGCAAAACTGATCTATGCCTTGTGCTAATTCTTGTCAGAATAAAAAGAATTTAGAAATAAAATGCTGCAAAACCTGCATTAAACAGCTGTTTTAAATTGTATTTCCATAAGACTTTGACATTGTTTTGAGATAACTAGTATTTTTGTTATTTTCCTTTTCCATAAAGGTATGATGATAAGCATATCTCAATAAATCTATGGCATTACTAGCAGGAATTAGGACCTCAACAACTCCACCACCAACTTAACTGATAGTCTCTGATAAAATCCATGTGATAAAATGTGTCTTTTTGTTGCAAACTGTTTTTATTTTGGGATTTATAGTTTCAGAGATATGATATCATGGCAGCTGATACTTGTGGGCTTGTGTTTGTACTACAGATGGGAGCCTGGCTCTGACTTTCATTCCCAAGCAGGCCTGACTCCAGGAGGAAAAGAAAAAAGAAAAAGGAGATAATCATTTAACAGAAAGATAAAAAGAAGAAAATAAAAAAATAAAAAAAAAGAAAAAGTTGAGCGTTACAGCAGCAAATGCCACCCAATCTGCATTTATTTCCTGTGCTGTAACTGCTGTGGTCCAAGAGTGAGGAGAGGTTTTGTGGTGGGCTGCTTACCAGGGTCTGCTTGCCTCAAACACTTCCCAAGCCCCAAAAGCAGGAGTGGTTTCATAGCACCCAAACTCTTTGGGCTTTCCCCAGGGATAGTGGAGGAAAGAGCTTTGTGGCATCTCTCTAGACTGAACCATTTACTATATAAAAGTTGGGGCAGTTTTTCTGTCATTCATCTGTGGCTTTTTGAGCAAAACAATCTCCATCACTGGTTTTATATACACAAACCACCACTTAGAACACACAGCTTCAGAGTTCACAGGGCATGAGGATCCATTTCTACATTTATAACACTGCTTCATGCAGTTCTAAAAATGGATCATTGTGCCCCTCTTTCATAAAACTTGGTTTAGTGCTCATTACAAGGTAGTCTGACAACAGTGTTTTAGTCTGCCTTCTTTTTTCCCCTTTAAATGAATCAAAACCCACATAATTTAAGAAGCAGATGTCAATGTATGCACAACTTTACTAACCGTTCTACTCCATCATAGTCACCACCAATTCCTATCGATTCTGAGCCTGCAATTTCCTTTATATGGTCAAAATGATCTGAAAGAAAATATCAAGAAAACAACATCTAAGCATCTAGCTAAAATGAAATATTACAGTTCACACATATTGGCGCTAGGTAACAGCTCTCCCTAATTGTGAGATCTTGATCAAATACTTTCTAAAAAAGTCAAAAGACACCCCATCAGGCAGCAACCTTCAAAATGACAGCTACACTGATGAAATGAAAATAAGGAAAGAGACATGATCATCACAGCACATTCATTCCTAACAAGTAGCCCAATTATACCAATAGAATTTTTATTATCCATTACATACCTATGTTTCCCAATCTTAATTACATAGGCTTAAGGTGTTTTTCAGAAAGTAACAACTACTTTGGGATTAATGGTTGTTGGCTGTTTGTGAGCATCGTGCCCTCCAGCCACACACACATCCTGTACCACTTGCTATTGTTTAATGAGTGTTAAAGCAAAAAGTAACTAGACTGGGCTAAGGTGTGGATGGAATAAACAAGCAGTGTAATTCACATGACCTTGAAAATGATGCATGCACCAAAATATTCATAGAATTTATATAAAACCATATATAAAACCATAGAACCCACAAAAACGACAGTGTATTAACATCAAACCTGCAAGGGTAGAAATATTAACAACTTTTCTGCCACAGGCCAGTACATCTGCATTGAAAGTCACCATGATAATTCCTTTGTTCTTTTTCTGAAAGATATGAAGAGACAGGTGATGAGTGAACACTCATGCCCTGCAACTTCATGGGCATCTTATATAGAATCTTCTACACCCATCCATCAGTTAGAACAGCAATACTAAGTCAAAGTTTAGATGGCAACACAAGCCTTTGCCTCCCGGTCCTTTCCCCTGTGTTCATTTTACTTGCATGCAGACTGAATCAACAGAAGTGCAGTGACTACATCAAGCAACTCAACCAGAATTTCAAAGTATTTCCAAACACCTCATTTTTGTAGTCAAAGGCTAAACACAACCCAAAGAAAATGTCTCAGAAGCAATTGTAAGCTGCTGCTCAAGGGTCTGCTTCTAAATCAAGTTCAGGGATGAGGAGATGGAAAGTAAACATCATGATTTGAATGCACCCATGCAAACATTGTCATTAAACAAAAAACAAAACCCCCAAGAAGAAAAACCAACAAATTCCTTCCTCCAAAGACAAACCCAAGAAC